CATGTCGAAGGAAGGAGGAGAAGGGAGAAGGGAAGCTATGGTGGACAATGAGGGAGGGAGACGATCTGGTGGGAGGGAGAAGGGAGGAGTAATGCGGGAGGGAGGAAGGAGGAGGAAGGTTATGGCGGAGGAGGAGAGAGGTAGGCAGAGGAGGGAGTCGGAGGGTGCTGAAGAGCGGAGGAGGAGGGAGGCAATGGAGAGGAGAGGAGGCAGGCGGTGCAGAGGGCGGGAGGAAGGAAGGAGGCGATGGACAGAGGTGGAGGAAGGCGATGGAGAGCGAGGAAGGAGGGGCGCTATGAGAAAGGAGGGAGGAGGGGGGCTATGGCGGCCATGCACGTAGGGGTGGTGGGGGCCTATGGCGGAAAAAGAAGAAGACGAAGAAACGAAAAAGATGAACAAGAAGAAGAAGAAACGAAAAAGAAAAACACGAAGGAGAAGAAACTAACAAGAAGAAGAAGAAGCGACGAAGAAGTAATGAAAAAAAAGAAGAAGAAACTAAGAAGAAGAAGAAGAAGAAGCGAAGGAGGAATGAAGAAGAAGAAGAAATGAAAAAGAAGAAGAAACGAAGAAGAAGAAGAAGAAGAAGAGGAAGAAGAAGAGGAAGAAGAAATAAAAAAGAAGAAACGAAAGCGAAGAACAAGAAACGAGAAAGAAGAAGGATGGCGCGCGACAACCTTCGAGGAGGGCAGGATGACGACGACGGGGCGGCCGCAGGTCGACGATGATGGCGGCACCAGGACGATGACGACAACGCGGCGGGAGGGTGGCAAGACAGCAACGACGACTGGCGGCGGAGGGCTGGAGGGTGGAGGGCGAAGGGCGGAGAGCGGAGGGCGTGGTGCACGGGGTGAGGCAGACCGGCCCAGGATTCGAATTGGAATCCTGAGAGCTACGCTTGCCGTCGATCACCGATGATCGATCTCCTAGATCACAAAAAAAAAACTTCTCAAAAGGGGCCTACCGGGCCCCGAAAAATAGCGCGCTGCCAACAAAAACTTTTTTGGCTTGTGGGCCGTCGGGTGGCAGCGCGAAGCACTTCCTCTTAGGTTGTCACTTCAAGATCTACTCAGATCATCAGACCTTGTAGTGGATTAAAACACAGACTGATCTCTCTCCGACATTGCCTTACAATTTTGAACTGAAACACAAGAAAGGTTGTTATAACCGTATGGCTGATGCTTTGTCGCGCCATCCTGAGTTTTTGACTTGCCTTGTGGACTCATATGACCTCCGAAGGAAGCTGAAGGAGGATCTGGTCGAACACACTGCCAAGGATCCGGACCTTAGTCCCATCCTTGAGCAGCTGAAGGCTGACCCTAGTAGTCAGCTTGATTTTCACGAGTGTGAGGGTGTTGTATTCCACCGTTATGGGAAGTTTGATCGTTTGTGTGTATCCAACCATGCGCCTCTCCGGACTCATTTCTTGGATTTGGCACATGGTCGGAGTGGACACTTCGGCTTTGAAAAGACTTATGGAAGTCTTTTGCAGCAGTTTGATTGGCCGGGAATGAAGGGATCTGCTCAGAAATTTATTGCAGTCGTGCAATCAAAATATGTGTTATAAGTGGAGTGTTATTTAAGAAAAGGATCCCTGACATATATAATCGAAGGCTACAATGCAATGTTTGCAAAAGATAGGCCTCCTGTTCTCCATTCCTCCAAAGAGACGGACTATTTATGCGTCTTTCTATGCTTCGTGCCTCGCGCTTAATGTGTGAAGCGCGAGTGCCTCACTTGTATGCTTTCATCAAAGCGTTACAATGATTAAATATTGGAATCATTTAAAATATCACTTATAAGTTATAACTCGATAGAAGATTATAAGGTAAGGCTGTTTCGGTTTTGGAGCTACTTATCTGGATGGTTAGGGGTTGTTTCTGGTGACGGTCACCTCCACAAGATCAAATTTCGAGGCAACAGTCGGCCACAGCCAACCGTTCTTTGCGAGTCATGGATTTTAGCGAGTCCGCATTACATGCACAAAGACACGTAGACTGCTGCAAGATCGTCAGGAGGAGGCTTAGGGTGTGTTTGCCTTCGGTGTAATTGCCATGGGCTGCAGTACCCTTACACGGGGGAAATGGCCAACGCTCTAGGGTGCTTTAAACCACCAGTACTTGGCCCAGCTATCGGCCGCAGCGCTTCCCCGTTAGCGCACCACGTTTTTTTTAGGGTTTCAGGGTACCAGACCACAATGGCTGGAAGCGCCAGCCAAAACAAAATTGAAACAGTACCCCGACGCTTCGGCAAAAATTGGCGAGCAGGGGCATTCCAGGCTCGGCATCAATAGCTGGGCCAAGTACTGGTGTTTTGAGTAATGGCGCTCTTGGTGTCGTGCGTAGGACTCCCGGTGTTGTAAGACCTGGCTTGCGGAGTAGGCTTAGGGAATGTTTGCCTTGGGTGTCGTTCCCATGGTCTGCGGTACCCGTGGATAGGGGAAAGGACCAAGATTCAGAGGTGAAATTTGAGTAACGGAGCTCCTGGTGTCGAGCTGAGGACTCCTAGTCTTAGGCCTTGCGTGCGGAGTACTCGTGAATGGGCTCGGAGGTCTTTCGTTAGGGTTGGCATTCATGGGGTTTGAGGTTTTTGGTCTGATCCGGCTGAGGCCAGAGTTTCTTAGCCGGTGGAGCTCTTGGTGCTGCGCATATGTGCTGCTTCTCGTCCATGTGTGCTGCTTTTTGGCTGAGCGGGAGGGTACTGCTTATGCAGTGTTGATTTCGTAGGACGGTAGGGCCTTTGTTTTCTATTGCTTTTTGTCAATCGGGATTTGTTTCATGAGAGTTAAATCACCACTCCATCTGGAACTATCTTGGCGAAACAAAAGTTGCAGCTGAATCTATAGTGCCACCTTGAGGAAAAGTAATTGTGGTAACCTTCCCTCTAGAACCTCTATCAGTCCTGGGCACTGTAGATTGTGACACGGTACTTGAGGCAAGAAAAATAAACGTTGCAAGGGCCGTTGGAGTGGTGGTTTCATGGGATTTATACTGCCTCGTGTTTTTGTTTTCTGGCTGCTGCGGGAGCGGTGGTTGGTGAGTATCGTTCGTTGCTTCCCTGGTCCCCCATTTCTCATAAGTGCAAGTGTGCCGTTTAGGGCACATCGGTGCCTGGGTACTTGGCGTTTTACCACGGTAATAACACGGCAACCGTGCCCTCATTTTATTTGAAACGGATATGGACGAACGTGGGGCTGACATTCGACCGTCAATTACACAAAATGCAAACACACAGACTTACTACCGTTCTTGTCAAGGGTTTGGACCAGCAGTCTGCGAGGATTGCGAGGTTGGTGTGAGTAAAGCCGACCACTTTTCTCTCTCAAGAATGGGTATCGCTGACTCTGGGCGATGTGGTGAGTCCTTATCCTTCAGCCAAATGCATCCTGGGCAGACTGTCGGGGTTCAACCTCCTGATGAGTCGGTGAAAGTCCGATGAAACAGTCTGGCACAGTCATGCTTTTTTTTTAGTGTATAGCGAATATGACAACACACATATGTATGGATGTAGGGTAGCTCGACGCGCAAGCAGCAACAACACACAAATGTGGGCAACCTTACACTTTCAACAAATGCACTTTCAAGTAAACTATCTCGTCTTACCACGAGTGCCGTGGAGGCAAATTTCACCTGAAGAAAAGATTCCAATCGGGTGGCCTCCTTATGCATGGCTGCAAGTCTAGGTCAGCCGATTTTTGAGGTGCTGGCAATTTCAAGGTGAAAAATGGGTTATGAAGCGTGGGTTACAAGGGTTACGAAGGGCTTAGAATGTCCTACAACACACACGCACACAGTTGATTTGCGCTGCCGAACAGAACGGTCTGTAACGGTCACCCTGTTTTCGAGGAGTTAGCGAACAGACAAAGATAAACAAAATGGGTTATGAAGCGTGGGTTACAAGGGTTACGAAGGGCTTAGAATGTCCTACAACACACACGCACACAGTTGATTTGCGCTGCCGAACAGAACGGTCTGTAACGGTCACCCTGTTTTCGAGGAGTTAGCGAACAGACAAAGATAAACAAAGTCAACCGTATCATGAAATGCTACGGTTTTCTCCGGTCTTGTTGAACGTTCATGTTAAGGCCTGTTAGCATGCAGCCATCATGCTGCCGGCTGTGTGTCTGGAGCGTAGTTTCTGGCTGCGACACACCTTGGTTGTCTTGTGGGCGGTCTGGGGGGGTATAACTTATAAATTAGGGGAAAATTTTGAAATTTGTTTGAAGTTTGCATTTTTTTGCGGCGTGCCCCTGTGAAGGTCGACTTACCTTGTTATGTCCCTCGGGCCTCTGAATTTTTCCGCATGCCCCTGTCAGCATGGGGCGTAACTTTCCAATATGCCCTTATTGGACCGCTGGTGGCGTTTCGTCGTTCCGTCCTTGAAATGCCCTCACGAGGGGTACACATTGTTCTGTGATGCCCTTGCAGGAGTGGCGGTGGGAATTCGAAATCGAAAATGGTAGGTATTTCACACGCCGCCACGTAAAAATGGTGCAGCAGTCAGTCTTCGAGTTCGTCACGCCATGGATCGCTGGGTGGGAGTGCATACGCTGACTGTGCGAAGGTGAGCATGTGCGTGCGCACGTGTGTGTGCCCATGCTCATCGCCCTCCTCCCTCCTCCACCCATGCTCATCGCCCTCCTCCATCCTCCTCCATCCATGCTCGTTACTCTCCTCGCTTCTCCTCCCGCCTCCATCGTCTATCCTCGTCCATCGTCGTAGTCCTTGTCCTCCCTACTCCTCCTCCCTCGTTCTCCCTCCTCCAACTTTCTCCTCGTCACCCCTCCCTCTCCTCCTGGATTGTCGACCTCCTAACCATCACCATGGCCGTCTTCTTGGCGTCATCGCCCGCCCACGCGCGTGTGTGTGTGTGTGTGTGTGTGTGTGTGTGTGTGTGTGTGTGTGTGTGTGTTTTCACGTCATCTTTTCGTTTACTTTTTGGTTGGTATATGATGACGAATCGAAGGTGTTTGTCACTCGTTTTTTAGTCATTTGGGGTGTGTGTGTGTGTGTGTGTGTGTGTGTTCGCTTCATCTTTTTGTTTACTCGTTGGTTGGACAGGTGGTACATGATGACGAATCGAAGGTGTTTGTCATTCGTTTTTTAGTCATTCGGTTTGTTGGACAGGTGGTATATGATGACGAATTGAAGGTCCTCCCTACTCCTTTTCCTTCCTCTTCTCTCATTCCTCCCTCGTCCGTCATCGTCATAGTCCTTGTCCTCCCTACTCCTCTTCCCTCGTATGGACTGCGAGTGTCAACAACGGCGACAGGGGCTTGCTGGAAAGATGGACGGTACCGGTAATGGCATATAGGGAACGTTTCTGCTTGTTCTCAACAGGCAGCCGGTAGGGCCATACTGAAAATTTGGTATCGGTACCGGTAGGGGCATATGAAACATGTTTGAGGCCCAAACGACACCAGGGGTTTTCTGGAAACATCATTCGTCGGCAGATGGGCGCGACAAGGTAAGTCGGCCGTCAGAGGGGCACGCGGCAAAAGCAAACTTCAGTGGCATTTCAAAAATTTTGCCTTTCCCATCTCAAAGAAAAAGAAAAAGAAAAAAAAACAAAAGGAACAGGCTTCACACAAACACCAAAGTGTACTATCCCGAGATAATTGGGCGTTGATTATAAAGGGGAGGGGAGGGGAGGGAGAGGTGGAAGAAACGAAAAGAAAGAGATTTCACAGAAATGGTGAGGAAGAATTGAAGGTAACCGAGCAGCAAAACAAAATGTGGTTGTGCCGCGGTTTAGGGACATTTGAGCGGGGGGAGGTATCAGGATGCGATCTCTGCTCAGTTTGTACACCCATGGACTGTCGAGGTATAGACCGGAGTTCGAACTCCAATACCCTCAGATGAGGAGTAGAACCAACCAACTTTGATTTTACCTGGGGCAGGTCAATTAAAAATGACACCTCAACGCCGTCGGCCCTTCTCTGAAAAAAGATGAAGTGAGAGAGAGAGAGAGAGAGAGAGAGAGAGAGAGAGAGAGAGAGAGAGAGAGAGAGAGGAATAAAAAAGGAAAAAGTAGTTCAGGATGTGACATCTGCTATCAGCTGTGCTCTGTTGACATTATTACATGCCTTGGCTGTTGAGGTACGGCGATAATTGAACACATTTTCATCCTCACGTGGCGGTGTCCTCATAATTTTCCTATTTTCTATAGATTTAATATTTATGATGAAATCGTATGAAATAAATAAACAGAGAAAAATGTGAGTCAAAATGACGGAATTGTGCGTGTGTGAGAAGCCTGCTGTGTCTAAAAATAGAACCACGAACAAGATTTTCAAATCCCATTTCGTCTGTGTAGGAAAATGAACATCAAGGTATCAAATGTACTTGGCTTTTCCGAGTTTCGTTGGATTATTGCGCTTGTCGGACTGGGTGCGTTACTATTATTATTTTTAAATAATTGTTGTAAATAAAAACCAGTGGTGGACAACTTTTTTTTTTTTTTTTTTTTTTTTTT